ATTGTGTCTAATGTCTTGATTCATTACCAAACCTCAATTCTTTTGGCAAAAATGTAGTCCTTGAAAGTCAGAGGAATAGTCCAAGTTTGAGATATACTAGCTATGTAGGATAAAATGATTCAATAGTGATATAACACTTGGAGTTAGTATAAATCAAGACTTAGACTTCCTCAGTGGGACTAAGAAAAAGAACTGGGAAAAGTAATTAGAGGTTGTAAAAAGATAGTTTCTCAATCAAGGGAAGACGGATGGAGTATTCAAGCCAAAATTGAATAACCATCAGTATGGTTCTGCAAAGGGGATTAAGTGTGGTACAGGGAGAAGTCTCAGCTAAGACACAGGTAGGTTTATAGAGAATTCAATATTGGAGCAGTGAAAGCATTTACAGAATAATGAATGGTATGGACTAGGAAAAAAAACAACGTTCAAGTTTCTTAACATATATGAATGAAGAAATTACTAATTGTTTTAAAAGCTGTGTAACGTAAGTATACTGTGTCATGTGATTATCCGTATCTATATGTTAAACAGTCTAAGTGTCACTTAAACTTGTTTATGGGTGATTTTATAAATTAAAATGTAATTACCATTCTTTCAAATACTTTATGAGGGAGGATGTCAAATGTTATATCTTTATCATAAGTATGTAAATATTTTAATATACTTCAGTAACAAACGTTTTTACATTTTACTGATAGTAAAGAACTTGAGTTATCTCTAAGACCCCACCTGTATCACATCTTATTTCATTTCTGTTCACCCTTTCCCAATCCTATTTTCTGAACAAATATTTAGTGAGCATCTACTAGATATAAATCACTGTGGTAGGCACTGTCTTAGGACCTTGAATCTGGCATTACTTTTGTCACCATTTTAGAGATGAGGAAGATAAACCTCAGGAGGCTTAAGAGTCCTATTAAAAGATTATAAAGCTACAGGTGACTGAACAAAAAATATATAGCACATCATTGATTCTAAAACCTTCTATACTTTTTCCTATTATGCCACATTTTCCTGACTGATTCTTAAATCTTTACATGTGCAATTTTATGCAATCTCTAAGGATCCACAGAAATGTTAATGAGGGAAAAACTCCCCCAAAATAAAAGCCTAAATTGTTGCACACGGGTCATTACAGTGCAGAGAGCCCAGAGCCTTCCTTCCTAGATATGATGAGGTCCTGAGCGCCCTGAGATAACCTTAAAAAGGCCAGGTTCCTTTCAGAGGTTAAGAGACTCCACAAAGGAGAGCGATGCTACATCTTCAGTTCTTCTCAGAGACCTGTATTTGACCCAAAGCACAACAAAATAGAAAGCTCGAAATATAATTTTTTTTCCCTTAGTGATACATTTTTTATGACGATCATGGAAAATAGCAACTCTGTTTGTTTTCAACAACTGCAGGTTTCGATTGTTTAAAAATGGTATAGTGCTTTTGAAAAGCCTGAGTTGTTCAATTTTTAAAATACCAGAGGGGAATCAAGCTCCTATCAGGGTCCTAAAACACTACCTAGCAAGGAAAACAAAATGTAAGACATTAAGGATGTTGTAAAGAAATTAACTAGACAAATGAAAGGAAAAATGGGATGATAGGCAGCTGTATGAAAATCTTCATTATTCTGCCTTAAGATACCTGTCAATCTTCAGTGTTATCAGTGATAAAGGGGGGAAGGGGGAAATGCAGGGGAATTCTAAAGTGTTTCTCCTTGTCTACATAGTGTGCTTTATTCTATTTTTGTATTATACCTCAATAACATTATTACTTGTCTAACCAGGTATAGTTATGCACTTTGCGCAGTAGTTAATAGTGTGGAAGTTTATTTTCTGGGCAAAAGAGCTGTAGAGGGAGGAGAGAACACTAGAATATTTACGATAAAACGAGTTTCTACTGGTACCAAGAGCCTATTTCAATAAATATTACTCTTTGGATTCTTTAATAACTTAAAATATAATTAAACAGCCCACCCCACCTTGTAACAATTTGAAGAATTACTAGAAGTGGAATAATGCACCTCACTATTGTAAGCTTCTCCTTTTATCATACACTTTTCCCTTTTTGTCTCCCACCTCTAAACTATGAAAGATCTTGATGAGGCATTGTGGTGTTTGGGTTCCTTCCCAAGCCCAGCATTAATATTGCAGGAATCAGTTTTCCAAAACTACTCAGATCCTGATAACTAGACAAAGAAAAACACACCAACAAAGTACAGGTTATGATTAAAGTCTATATTGATACATAAAAATACTGGCTACAGAGCTTACCATTGCTTACCCTTGGGACAGCGGCAACTCCATACTTAAGGGGGAAGCTTCCCCAATTCTGATTTATTTATTTAGTAAGTCAGTGAGCACCTTCTGTGCTCAAAGAATGAGGTATTAAATAGATATGGTGCCTGACCTCATGAAAAACAAATAAATATTTAGACTGGGAAGGAATATGGAGAAGACCAATACTCATGGAGTTAGAAACTGGGACCAAGGAGGTTAAAGAAGCAAAAAGAGCTCTGCTAGTTAGTTATTCCACTCCACTCACATTTGAAAAATACTATGCAGTCATAAAAAAGGATGAGTTCATGTTATTTGTAGGGACATGGATGAATCTGGAAACCATCATTCTCAGCAAACTGACACAAGAACAGAAAACCAAATACCACATGTTCTCACTCATAGGTGGGTGTTGAACAAAGTGAACACATGGACACAGGGAGGGGAACATCACACACTGGGCTCTCTTAGGGGGGCTAAGGGAGGGACATCGAGGGGTGGGGAGGTTGGGGAGGGATAACTTGGGGAGAAATGCCAGATATAGGTGACGGGGGGATGGAGGCAGCAAACCACCTTGCCATATATGTACCTATGCAACAATCCTGCACGATCTCCATATGTACCCCAAAACCTAAAGTACAATTTAAAAAAAAGAAAATTACTCTTAGATAGTCAAAAACCACTATGCATTTGTTAAGTTTACTCACCAATGACCTAGAAATGTTAAAAAAAAGTTGTAAGAAACCATAATTTTCTTATATAGAACAGAGAAGATGAAGACAATTATTAAAATAATAGTGATAGCTTGATTCATGAAAAAAATGAGTAGTGAACAAAAATGAACTACAAGAACCAGAAAAAGTAACAGCCAAATTTGCAAATGGAAATATGTTTATGAAAAAAGTCTCAGCTCTGAGACTTATCACAATCAAGATCATAGCATTTATTTGACTTATGTAATTTTCTGTCTCCCTTAACTATATGGTAAGCTTGATAGGGGAAATTTTTTGCTGTTAACATTTTTGCCTTGTTTTTGCTTTGTATTTTTTGTTCCTCTGATGTAACTCCAGAACCTGAAAATTTGCATGATGCACGACATATGCTAAAAAAACAAAACAAAACAAAAACCTGTTAACTAAAAGAATGGATAAATGGAAAAAATAATGATACTAATAACTGCCAGCTCCTGGCAGTCACTTTTCCCAAGTAGAGAGTCTGAGGAAATGACCTCCCTGAAAGAGGAGTTCTATATGTACCACATTAAAAATTTTACCTAGTTTAGGGATATAAATTGGTTGTTTTAACTTGAAACTAGGACTAGCCACAAAATAACACACCAGAAGACAGTACTTCAACTGAATTACACAGACCGAAATAGATCTTCAGTGAACTTGGGCAGTATTCAGAGATTAAGGATGAGTGTTTCACATACATCTTTTTCATAGATCAAATACATGTTTTGACATCTAATTTTTTGCAATATTGTTCATAACCTACTCTTCAAATGACTGGGAAAAAAATGTTGAGTATAAAAGACTTCTTTGGAAAAATCTGTAAGAATCCGTTGGAGAAAGCAAGCAGAAACGTATTATTTTTTTGGATGCTGCCATAAATGTAACATGGCAAAGAGCAACAACAATACAACAAATTAATCATTGTCCCATAAGACTTTTTTCAAAATATTTAAAATAGGTTACAAAAATAATGAATTATATATCATGGATGTACTTGTTCCACAACAGTGTAGACATCAAAAAACATTTATATTATATAAAGGAAAAACAAAGAAAAACCAAGTAAATTTAGGGAAAGACTGATTGATCAAATAACTTGTGTCTAATTGTATATTACACTGATATTCAAAACATGGTAACAATAACAAAAGTGAGTAGAGGTAAATATAGATTCCCTTTCATTGGACTGTCTTGGCCAGTTTTAACAGTTTCTGTTCATTGATTTAGAAGATGCCTTCAAAGTTGAAATAACTTTGAGAAAAGTAACTAATTTTTTTTTTTTGGACAGAGTCTTGCTCTGTCACCAGGCTGGAATGCAGTGGCGCAATCTCAGTTCACTGCAACCTCCGCCTCCTGGGCTCAAGTGATTCTTTTGCCTCAGCCTCCCATGTAGCTGGGATTACAGGCGCACACCACCACACCCAGCTAATTTTTGTGTTTTTAGTAGAGACGGGGTTTCTCCATGTTGATCAGGCTGGTCTGCAACTCCCAACCTCAGGTGATCCACTCGCATTGGCCTCCCAAAGTGCTGGGATTACAGGCATGAGCTACCGTGCCCAGCCTAACTCAAGTTTTATTAACCTTCTTTTTCTCAATTTTTCAAATAATTGACTAGATTCTCAGTTAAGTATCCTTCTTTTTTTAGCAACAGAATTTTCCTTGGTCAGGAAGAGCAAAAAAGAGAAAGGAGGGAGTATTGTGTAAAAGAAACTAAAATCTTAAAGACTGGAATTATAGGGACAATAAGGATAATTGCATTCAATCAAAACTTTTAAATATGAGAATACTGAAGTTAGAAGTAGTAATGTCCTTTACCTAAGGGAACACATTTAATAAAGTCAAAGCAGACTGTGAACGAATACTCTTGACTCCTCACACAAAGCTTTTTCTACTTCACTCTTATCACAGATATTGGGAGTTGAAAACTTCCTTTCATCTTTGTATTTTATTTTATTTTATTTTTCAGAGATGTGCTGTTCACTAAGCATTGCCTGCAATGGACATGCAAAACCAGACCACAGTGACTGAGTTTACCCTGACGGCCTTTCCTGTTCTTCAGAAGCTTCAAATTTCCCTTTTTGTGGTCCTCTTGTTTACTTACACACTTACTCTCACAGGAAACATTGCCATCATTTCCCTAATATGGGCGGATCATCGCCTCCAAACCCCAATGTACTTCTTCCTCAGTAATTTGTCACTTTTGGACATTTTTTACACCACCTCAGTTACCCCAAAACTATTAGCCTGTCTCCTGCAGGACAAGAAGACCATATCTTTTGCTGGCTGCATCACCCAAACTTATTTCTTTTTTTTCTTGGGGACAGTGGAGTTTATTCTCTTGGCAGTGATGTCCTTTGACCGCTACGTGGCCATCTGTGACCCCCTGCACTACACCACCATCATGAACAGCAGGGCCTGCCACCTACTAGTTCTGGGCTGCTGGGTTGGAGCCTTCCTGTCTGTGTTGTCCCCAACCATTGTGGTATCCAGATTGCCTTTTTGTTATAAGGAAATTAATCACTTCTTCTGTGACATTGCCCCTCTGCTACACATATCCTGTAAAGACACTCATTTCATCGAGATGATAAACTTCCTCTTATCTTCCCTCGTCCTCCTTACCTCATTGGTGCTCACCACCATGTCCTACATCTACATCATCTCTACCATCCTGCGTATCCCCTCAGCCCAAGGACGTCGGAAGGCCTTTTCCACCTGCACTTCCCACATCACTGTCGTTTCCATTGCCTATGGGAGCAACATCTTCATGTATGTGAGGCCCAGCCAGAGTCACTCACTGGATTTTGACAAGGTGACAGCTATCCTTACCACAATGGTGACCCCTCTTCTGAATCCTTTCATTTATAGTCTCAGAAATGAAAAGGTAAAGGAAGTCTTGAAAGAAGCAATCAGCAAAATTATGTCCTCATAACACAGGAGAACTTAAAACTAAGTTTTTTGCTCAGAATGATTATTTTCAACTCTGGCTCAGTGCGGAGAAAGACAGGTTTAGACACCAGAAAATCAAAGGTACACAGGAGGGTATGAATAGGCTCAGTGCCGCATCAGAGGAAAAGCATTGTAGTCACAGTTTAGAAGAGACAATTCAGCCATAGAGAAAATAACATGCCCTGAACTCTATTAGCGAACGACTGCACAGTCGTAATATCATGGATTAATGAAGAATACTAAACTAAAACCAAAAAAACCTAAATTTTAAGCTGGCTTTATCACTTTTTTTAATCAAGTGACACTTAGCCTATCTATTTGTTTTTTCATCTGTAAAATGGGGATGTTGTGCTTTTTCTTTTTGTTGTCGTAGGCTTAGCAAGATAGTCTAAGAAATGGAACCACATAAACAAACATTTCCAAAGACTTCTGCTGGGTCTTTTCAGATGTTGCACAGATTCAACCCTGACAGTTACATATTATAATAACAATAACAACGGAAAGTAATAACATAATATAGGGTTTGTACAGTGTACTTAAATATATATACATGTATTTCATCTATTCCTTCTAATAACCTTAGAAAGCTGATATCATTATCCCCATTTTACATACGAGAAAACTGAGGTTTACAAAGGTTAAGCATCTTTTTTTTTTTTTTTTTTTTTTTTGAGATGGAGTCTCACTCTGTCACCCAGGCTGGAGTGCAATGGCACAATCTCGGCTCACTGCAACCTCCGCCTCCCAGGTTCAAGCAATTCTCTTGCCTCGGCCTCCTTTGTAGCTGGGATTACAGGCACGTGCCACCATGCCCAGCTAATTTTTGTATTTTTAGTAGAGATGGGTTTTCAACATCTTGGCCAGGCTGGTCTTGAACTCCTGACCTCGTGATCCACCCATCTCGGCCTGCCAAAGTGCTGGGATTACAGGCGTGAGCCACCATGCCCGGCCAAGGTTAAGCATCTTGCTCCAAACTACAGCATTGGTGAGTGGCAGAAATTTAGAATATGTGAACTTCAGACTCCTTTTGCATTCTGCTATATCACAAAATGTGGAAGGGAAACTTAAGAGGAGAAACCAAATTAGCCTGGAAGCTACCTTCTTTTTCTGAAGCCAGAAGGCAACAGTTACACAGACCTGCAGATCAAGGCAGACCAGAAGTGGGATATAATTAGAATGGACTGAGAGGCAATTGGTTTGAAAGGAAAACTACTTATTCAGAGACTATAACTGACCATGAGTCTAGACTGATCATCTACTGCAACTGGCCAATACAGCCATCATATAAAGAAGAGTATCTTAGCATTCACTTGGTTGAGGAAAAAAAAAAAAAAGAAAATCAGAAAACTAATGAAGCTTACTTAAGTAAAATGTGTACTTATCATAATAATCAAAAGTACCATGTGGAACCCCAGACGATAAGAAACATCAAGACCTGCTAAGCAACAAAAAGAATGAACTAGAAATCCATAAGGATCCAAGGTAGGTATTTCCTTATCTCTAAGTCTCTGATTTCTGTTTAGGTCTCTTTGGAGTTGTAGTTCTCTGTATTATTTTTCTCCATATACTTTGTGGCATGCTGAATAATGGCCCCTAAAGATATCCAGGTCCTGACCTCTGGAAACCGTGAATGTTGTTTTATGTAACAAAGAGATTTTTGTAGGTGCAATCAAGTTAAAGACCTTGAGATGGGGGATTATCCTGGATTACCCAGGTGGGCCCTACAGGTATCCCAAGTGTCATCATAAGAGTTAGGCAAAAGGAGATTTTACTACAAAAAAAAAAAAAAAAAAAAAAGAAGAAGAAGAAGACCATGTGATGATGGAAGTAGAGAGAGATTTGGTGATGCTGCTCTGCTGGCTTTGGAGACAGAGGGTCATGAATCAAGAAATGAACCTCTGAAAGCTGGAAAGGCAATGAAACTGATTTTCTCCCACAACCTCATGTGGCTCTGCCAACACTGGGCTAAAGCCCAGTGAAACTGTTTTTGGATTTCTTGCCTTCAGAACTGTAAAATAATACATTAGCGTTGTTTTTAAGCCACAAGTTTGTGGTAATTTGTTACAGCAGCTGTAAGAAACTAATATACTACTGATCTGTTTTTCTCTCTCTGCAGTGTTTTTTTCTACTTTTCTGTGCACATGCAAGATAGCTGCTTTTGTCATTCACAAATATATGTATATATTCAATTATAGATATATATTCAATATATAGGAGTATAGATATTGAATGTATTTGAATATATTGATGTGTGGTAAATTTAAGTGGATACATGTTTAAAATGATCTGAGTTTGAAATCCAAACTTCTGGGAGGAGGATACGATTGATCCAATTAGAGTGAGATTTCCACTTCTGATTCACTTGTTTGCAAAAATGAGTCAGCAAGGTGTCAAATCACCCTGTGTCCACACAGCCACTAAGTAGGTGCTGTGGGAGTAAGCACTCTAAAAAGAGTATAGGAACAGGAAGAAGACAATAGTCATCTCTAAGATCAAAAAGAATCATGGCTAGTCTTGTTACAGATTTTCTAGCTGAGTGGACAAAGATAGGAACCTTAAGAATTGGCATGGAATCAGTGAACAGCAGGTAAAGAAAGTGCTACCTTAGGAATGAATTCAGAGTATTATAAGAGAGCATAGTCCATCATAAGATAATGAAGTGGACAAATGTTTAAAGACTAAAAGTAGATAGACCAAAGTCACCAAGAATGAAGCAGTCCTATAATTTTCTGCTTTGTGCTCATAATCAGACCGTAATTAAGACATGGTATCAAAAGTTACCATATGAGGTTACTATTGCTGCCATAACAAATTTCCACTAATTTGGCAGCTTAAGACAACACTAATTTATTATCTCATAGTTCTGCCAATCAGAAGCCCAACACAGGTCTCACCAAGCTAAAATGTCAGCAGGCTGAATTCTTTCCTGGAAGCTCTAGCAGATAATCCATTTCCTACACCTTTGGGTTGTTGACAGAATTTACTTTCTTGAAGGCTATACTATGGATTCAACCTGGAAATTTGTTTCGCTCAAGGAGGAAATTTGTTCCACTAAATCTAAGAAATAGTTTGTTTTACTGTGGTTATGATATTGAATTAAGTGGTAGGGATAAAATGCTAAAAAATACCTTTAACACTGAAACACTGTATACATTTTAATCATATCTTCAAGAACTTCTTAAAATTGTAAAGACAAATCACTTATTTTGAAAAGTAATTTTAAGGCTGGAAGAAAATACACTATATAAAATGTTTAATTAACTGTGTTTGAAGAGTGAGATTATAGCTAAATCTCTTTTTTCCACCTTTTGGAGCTTTTAAAACTTGGGAAGCATATGTCAATGTTGATATTGGAAAAATAAACATAATTTTATAAACAATAAAATATATATTAGAAGAAGAGTTAAGTTCAGGCGTTTCCTGAAGTAGGAGATATGATTTAAAACTTTTCTCTTTATTTTACAATTAAAGAGAAAAAACTCTCATGAGTTCACTTTAGTAACAGACTTATAAAGAACATTCTTACCAGCACAGAGACTGAAGTTACAAAAATAATTTTAAAAAATTTAAAAGAAATACATTCTTAAATTGAGATTCCTCCTCCATAAAGATAAAAGCAAATCCTCGAAAATGTCTGCATCTTAAGAACTTGGCTATTTTTTAAATATTAATATAATTAATATCAGGGGTTTTTTTTTCCTTTTTTAAGGCTGAAAAGTATTCCATTGTATTTACATACCATGTGCTTTTATCCATTTATCCACTGATGGACACTTAGTTTGTTTCCATACCTGACTATTGTGAATAATGATAAAATAAACATGAAAGTACAGCTATTTCTTTGAGATACTAATTTCAAGTCTTTGGACATATACCCAGAAATGAGCTTGCCAGATTATATGGTAATTCTAATTTTTTGAGAAATCTCCCTATTATTCTCCATGAGGGTTATACCAATTAATATTTCTACCAACAGGCTGCAAGGTTTCTGTTTTCCATCTGTACTCATCAATACCTCTTATCCCTTCTCTTTCTGATAATCGCCTTTCTAACAGGTATGAGATAACCCCATTATGGTTTTGAGTCATATTTCTCTGATGATTAGTGACGTTGAAAACCTTTTCATACACCTATTAGTGATTTGTATCTCTTCTTTGGAAAAATTTGTATTCAGATCCTTTGCCCATTTTTAGTTGGGTTATTTGGCCTTTTGCTATTGCATATTTGAATTCTGTATATTATTTTTTTTATTTTAACAGGTTTTTGGGAAACAGGTGGTGTTTGGTTATATGAATAAGTTTTTTGGTGGCAGTTTCTGAGATTTTAGTGAACCTATCACCCAAGCAGTGTACTCTATACCCAATGCGATTTTGTTTTAATCATTTACCATCCTCCGACACTTTCCCTGTATCTTCAAAGTCCATTGTATTGTTCTTATGCCTTTGTGTCCTCATAGCTTAGATCCCACTTATAAGTGAGTACATACAATGTTTGCTTTTCCATTCCTGAGTTTAATGACAGGGGTACATTCTGAGAAATGCATTGTTACCTGACTTTGCCATTCTGTGAACATCATGCAGTGCCCTTACACAAACCCAGATGGTACAGCCTGCTCTACATCTAAGCTATATGGTGTCATCTGTTGATCCTAGTCTACAAACCTGTACAGGATGTTGCTATAGTGAATACTGTAGGCAATTATAACACAATGGTAATTGTGTATGGTTTTGTGTATCTAAATAGTATTTGTATATCTAAACATATTTAAGCACAGAAAAGGTAGAGTAAAAATACATTATAATTTTTTTTAATAGTACACCTGCATAGGGCACTTACCATGAATGGAGCTTGCAGGACTAGAAGTTGCTTTGGGTGAGTCAGTGAGTGAGCGGGGAGTGAATGTGAAGGCCTGGGACATTACTGTACACTACTGTAGACTTTATCAACACTGAACACTTAGGTTACACTAAATGTATTTTTAAA